AATAAGACTCAGAGGTGAATTTCGTGGAGCTAAAATGACACCCGTAACGGGGTCTTAGAAAGCCGGATGTGGAAGTGAATTTAGCTTCTGCAATTAAGTGACAGATGATCATCAAATTGGAGCAATCAGCTAGCCAGTATTTATAAATGTGCTTACCTTGCGTGCCATTGCACTTCTGTGGGTCCTGCGTAGAGCATCGGCGATGGGAATATTGACAGTACGGTCCATGAGGGATCCAGCACACCTTCAGCGATCACTGCCTCATGCTGACGCATCCGTACGGATAGCGGAACATCGTCGTTCTTTGTCCATCCACCTAAAGGTAACACCTTCAGTTCCGATCATTAGGTGACCAAGACTGGTACTGATTTCTTAGGAGACGTAATCGAAGAGAACCTACCCAACGGATGGAGAAGGAGCATAGGATTACGATACTTCTTCAAGAGTTTCTCTCTTGTGTCACGCATGAGAAGAGCATGACCGTTGTGGATCGGATTGCGTAATTGGAAAACAAAAACTGCGTCAGCGCCTGAAAGAAAAACAACGTCGAATATCATCTTGCAAGTCGTGGTGAAGAAAAGTAAGGCAGATGTTCTTTGACTTCATTCTGGCTTCGACAAGGATACACCCACAGCGGCAATGAGGACTTAAAACCCACATTCGGGCCGCAGAGGTTTTACGGCGGCCCCGCATGGAACTCGGCTATGGTTTGGATTAGGATGGATACAGGACCGGAGCTACCCCGCTCTGAATCAGCAAAACATACCTTTCTCCTCGAATATCCTTCGCAATTCGCTTGGTGTTTTTCTGAAGCCATCCAAGCCGTCGTCGAATGTGATCCGCTCCAATACCTACAAATCGCATATCAGTTTACTACGTCGAGCAATGATACAGCATACAATAGCAAACAAAATGGTCGGCTGAAAAATCACAGGATAACTAGTCGGTCCATCTACGCGAGTGGTCAGTTTTGGATACTAATAGGCATCCGAAAAAAATAGAGAACGAATATAAGACGATATATAAAGGGTGGGAAGCGGAACAGACACCTCCCGCCCGTTTTCATCCTATCTATTTGGGGCAGAAAAGAATTTCGCGACCTGAGACCACGTTGCTAGTGAAGCGTTGAAAATGATAGAAAGTTGAGAAGCGAAGTGAACTGACAGTTTGGGAAAATGGAGGGAAACTACTGGAAATACCGAAAATAAAAGCCTGGCTTTTTGAACGGTGGTAGAGCCTCTGAGGAAGAAACATTGGGCGCCGAGGCGGAGCAGGAGTTCTTAGCTCTACCAATTCGCCCATCCGTCTGCAGTTCATTCAACGCTTTATGTCTTTATTAATACCCAACAAACATATTCCTTCTAGCCAAAAGGCAAAATATTATATTTTGTGGCACCACTCAATTTTTAAAGGTGACCAAATGAACTGTAAAAAGTAAAGATCACCTTCAGATCACCTCCCAAGCACCATGGCCCGCTCGAGAGAACCTGTTCAACGGCTGGATGTCGTGGATCGGTGAACGCGAATTGTCTTGCAACTCGTTCTTCTCGTCGATGAGCGAATACCTCGCCGTCGCTGAGCACAGCAAGAACAACTCCCTCGCGAGTAAGCGCGACATTTGGCGACACCTGATCGCCTAAAACACAAATATGTTGATCGCAGCTGGCACGAGCTTCAAGCTTCATTTTGCTAGAGTCATTCTGGACCACTTCTTAGCTTCCACTAAACAAACACGGAAGTTAGAGGCAGTGGGTACGACAGAGAGCTCTGCAACAGGGAAGAGCGTGCAGCCGTGGCAGCGGTGGGCAGGCGGTAAAGTGAACGAGAGTAACTTTCTCGCCACAGAAGAAGCTATACCTGAGCGCAATTAAGCCCCAGACCTAAAAACCGCTCTGCCCGTCGCATTTGACGATAGCGTCATGATTAGGGTTCCGTTTCCATTGCGCATGAGCAATTCAATCCAAATCCGTTCAATCCATGTGTAACTCAATCCAATCCTTTAACCTTGTCGTCTGTTATATTCTTCCGGTGCACCTTTGCCCATACGGACAGTACCTATGCCCGTGAACTCGTCCAATGTCAATGAGCCAAAGAGTGTCCCAGGAGGGGACATCTTTGTGTCCATTAACATTGGACGAGTTTTGAAGGGTTTTTGACATTTTCGTCTCATTCGTTCCACTTTCTCGCACTAACTGGCATTGCTGCTTTTGTATTTAATCGGCATAGATTTCGTAGACACTGTCGCTTCGAAAACAACTTCCTATAGGATATACGATTGCATCTAGAAGCTCAAGGATTCAACAGTACAATGGCATTTTTGCTTGCCTACATTCTCCCGAGCAGAATAATATTTCGAAGCTCACCATTGGTGATGCTCTGCTTTTGTTCGTCTGTAATCGGCAGTACTATCGGTACGCTCTGATTTACAGGCTCATCCATTGGCCATGGGTCTTCAGCGCCGTCGTCCTGAAAA